AATGGACCGATTTGTCTTCTAGATGGTTATAAAAGTAGATAAATACTAAAACTATCTGAAATTACCAGAATTTGCTAAAAAGTGTTAATATGTACACAAGGTTTGGACCTCGGGGTCCTCGATTCATTACAATACTTTGTCGTGAATGGGTTATATAGGTGCTGGAACAACTACGTGCTACTGTTTTAATTAATGGCAAATGGTAATTTTTTTTATTAAATTGTTAGAAATTTCCTTAATCGATAATAGAGGTAGACCGCAGACTCGTCTATACTACGCCTTTGGAGAGGGCACTAAAAACCGAAAAGAGGAAGCTTAAAAAAATGCAAAACATCACGAGAGTCGTGTGTGTCGTGTGCATGCCTTCCTAGTGGTATTTTTGCGGTGAAACGCGAAAAACTCCATCATTTATGCGAATCGAACCGGTCTCTACCTCATTACTTCGACGGGTGGCACGCGGACCATTTGCGCCGTTGCCAAATCACCAACTGCCTTTTCGATCTTATTTTCTTTATACCAGTCATAAGAAATGTATTTATGGCATTTGAGGAATTCTCTACATATTGTAAGAGCTTACCAAATCTGTGGTAATATTACTAGAGGCAGCATATCGTTAGGGGGGAGGCAATTGATGGTAGGTAGGGTCCTATTACAATTAGAAGAACACAGCTAAGTCATCATTTGATAAAGTAATTAATTGGTTATAGCCGCCTACTGGGGGTTTAGTGGAGTGTTAATATTATAGGAATATAGAAAATATTGTTTTATACCTAACAACTTACTTATTTTTTATTTATTGATAGTTTTAGATAATATGTATTCGAAATTCGAAGTAATGATTGTGACGTAGCGGTGTTCTTCTAATTGCAATCGGACCCTACTACTATTATGTTTATTTTTGATCATTTTAACATATACATACCATCTGATGTATTTTATGCACTTTTATACGTTGGCAAAACGATAGACGTGAATACTTTTCCTCAGAGTCGCCGAGAGCCAGGTCGGGCCCCGCGACAATTTTATAAAAAATTTTTAATATCACATTTCTAAAATAAAGGCCTTCAAGCAAAAACTTCTCCTCCTCTTTTCTTGAATTTCTCTAAAAAAAGGTCTTCAAGCAAAACCTTCTCCTCCTCTTTTGAATCTTAAAAAAAAGAAATAAAGAAAAAAAAAAAAAGAAAAAAAAAAGGAAAAAAAGGAAAAAAAAGAAAAAAAAGGTCAAGCAAAAACTTCCCTCCTCCTGTGCCTAACTTCTGAAGAAGTAAAAAACGTCCTCGCCAAAGTTGCCGGGCCCCCCTTATGGGCCCCGGGAATTAGTCCCGGCTACCCTCCCTTCTTGTCGGCTCTGCTTTTCCTGTATGAATATATTACTGTGCATATTTAAAACCAAATATGACATATTTTCATAATTACATATTGCTTACTTATTTTTTACCTTTTCCAACATATCTATATTTGCCATCTAACTGCAGTCATAACAATTTTTTGAAAGAGAATCATTTCTGGCCGTAGTTGAATTTTTTAGAAATAAAAGTTCCTTATTATTGAACGCGCCATCTATGCCTAGGAAGGCACCCACTGCAATCTCCCCGTATTTTAGGGAATGGCCGATTTTACCTACTAGATTTTGCAATACATGATCTGTCGATTTGCCTGCTTGGTAGACATATTTGAAGCAGTTTAAAGGGCTTGTCCGAATGCATCCTTCTCTAGAATACTCTCTAATTTTAAGGGTACACCTACATATTTTTAAAATCGTTTTTCTTAAATCCATACATTTAAAGTCTTTTGTAACTATACAGACAGTATTACAATAATGCATTACTTCTAAAACATTTTCTACCGTTAATACTTGAAAAAATACAATACAGATTGCAGTAATAGCAATTAGATGTTATTTTTAGATCGAGCCCATTTGGCAACGATGTTCTGATCTTCTTCGGCCTCGAAAGACCTTGACAACAACTGTTGTTAGTAAGAGAAGAAGATAATAAAAACCATCATGCGTGTTGTGTGTGTGCGAGTGCGTATGTGTAATAGGAACGTTACTCTGTAATCGAGTCTTTAAATGACGGGTTTCTGTCTCGGAGTCTCTTCACCCCGGAATTGGTCGCCATATTGCCGTATACACAGTGTTCCACTTTTAATTATATTGAATTGGTTGATCACCAGGAGGACCGGACCTAAATCCTATAGAATTTCAAATAATATATTACTTTATATAGTAATTCCAGTATTAGACATTCTAAATAATTTGACCAGTATTTTTTTGTTAGGAATTAGTAAGTCTTTCAAACAAGTGATAACGCATATTTGCTTCAAAAATGACACAACTCAAAATTATAGACTTTTCTAAGTTAAAACAATTTTGTTGATTGTAAGGTTGTTTACTAATTACATTCAAAGTAATAAATTTAGAAGATGTGCATTTTGAGAATTTTGAGTTGTGTCACTTTTGAAGCAAAAGTGCGATAAGTGGATTTCGCACTCCCTCTTCATAGGTGACATAAGTAAAAAATGCAAATTGTGAAATTGAAAATAGTTTAGTACCTAGGATTTTATAATTTTCTGTTTTTAGTGATATACCTAGGTAAAGTCATTATTTTAATATCACGAATAGTTCATATTTTTCTCTTTGGTTACAGCTAAATTATGATTAAAAAAAATTGTAAACAAACGTCAGCTTTTTTTTGAGTTCTGTCGCTTTTTATGATTGTGACAATACAACAAATTTTGATTTATAACATCAATAATAAATGTAAAATGGTGGTAAAAAGGAAAATATCTATTATGTTTATTTATCATAAACAAAATTGTTAATATTAAATACAAAAAATAATACAACGAACGTAAAAAAAAATAAATTATTCCGATAAAATTACAGTAATAAATATTTTTTTATTTTCTTCTATTTTTATTGCACTATGGTACGCTTGTTTCAAAATGTTGCAACTCGAAATATAAGTTATAACAGAAAAATTTTACACAATTTTATAGAGCAAAATTGACTTAGGTCAAAATAAGACACTTTTGATGTGTGAAGAACGGACAATTCGGAAAACTTTAAAAATGATATATCTAATAATTGGAACGGACTTGTGACACTTTTACATATGAAAAGTATAAGGTTTTTATTAGGTTTGCCGATATGCTCAGAGGGCCTAGTTACAGATACACATAGGTTTGCCGATATAAAACAAAAACTGGTACTTTTTGAGTTGTGTCACTTTTAAAGAGGGTATACAATATGTCTATGCGCACATCTGCACGTGAAGTAAATTATTGGAACGTTTAACTTCACTTTATATTCACTAAGACACTAATTTATTTATTGACTTAATTTATTTATACTCAATACTACACTAATTTATATATCATTTGACTTGTTCACTAATTTATATGGACAATATTTATGCCCGTATTATGTGACTTTTGGACCATTCTAGATATCTTTTGACCAACAATAGCGCAGCCGCCCGAAAATAAATAACGGATTCACCATTTTTTAGAATAGTGCATTCGCCAAAAATTGATGTTTCGAGATGCTTCTTGACGGGTCCCGTACTTTCTGTTATAATGATGCTTTACTTCGAATTTAAATGATTAATATTCTCTTAAGTATATTTGAATTTTTTTGTAATGTATATTTAGTATGGTATTTAGCATTTAGCACCATTCATGTTTTTATAAAAATATTACTGAAAGGTCAGAATATACCTAAAATGCAACAGCCATATAACATTGTTAATAATAAGTATGTTATTATTATAACCGGTATAAAAGTAGGTAGGTATTTATAATAATAAGTTTCCTATTATAGTTTAGTGATATTTATAAAATTAGTACTGTCATTGAATGGATACATGTTCGAGTTAGGCAATCAACACATCTCTTGAACTGTAATGTGTGTTGCCTTTAACTTTATTGTAATGACATTTGGCTTTATGTTTTTGTCTGTCGATTAAAATTATCACTTATAAACATTAATAATAAAAAAATTATTTGTCTTTTGTAGCAAAATTCTTTGTCTTCCAGGAGTTGATATTGTACAAAAAACTATTACATAATATTTTTAGTAGATTTAACTTGCTTAATTATCCAGTGAATTCTTTGATATATAACATAAAAAACTATTAGAAAATTAATAAGACCTAAATCTGGCAATCGTGGCGATCGTTTCTCCAATTATTTATAATAATTATATGCTGCCCGAAACTTTTCTCTTTCATGGTCGATGATTGGAATACCTCAAGGCTATTTTCTAGAGGCTCTAGTTTACTAATGTAAAAAGTACTCGTAGAAACGGTAAAGTTTAAGGCAAACGGCATCTTTTAGATAAACGCGGAGTCGCCGCAATCCAATGTTTTCACGTATTGCTAATCAATCTTAACTGTACTTGCAATCAAGACTATTTTGTACATAGGCATATGTATCGCTTAATCGTCGAGCTTTCTGTACTTTATACTATATACAGGGTGGTGGGTAATAGGATAAACATTTTGACAACATTTTAATACATGAAAATTTTAAATATTGTAGTTATTTGGGTATTATTATCTATCTTTAAAATAATTGAAGGACTCTATGTTGTAGTGTACAAAACAGATATTTATATCCTTGTTTAAGAACAAAAATTAATGATTAAATAATTTAGGATTAACAACTTTTTGTCACTATCGTTTCTTTGTTGTCATATTTTTATTGAAAAATATATGAGTACAGGGGTGTGTTAACAATCTGTACTTAAAATTTAAATAAATGAATTAAATATTATTAAATATTTTTCTGGAAAACAATTCCATAGAAAAACATGTAAAGTTTACCTATGAAATTATGAAATATCACCCAATTTTAATAGTATTTATTTAAAATTTTACCCGTATGTAACATACCCGTACGTTTGAAGATCGTTTGTTAATTAGGCATTTAAAATTGAGATCGTTCTGTATATATAAAATCTAATTTTTTTTTTACTGACATGGTATGTTTTGTTTCAGGGGTAAATATGCCACAGTATGGCGAGCGGTGCACAAGAAAACCAGCACGGCGTATGCGGCAAAGTTCGTGAAGAAAAGACGTCGGAATCAGGACCAGATGAAGGAGATCATACACGAGATCGCCGTTTTGATGCAATGCAAATCGACGAGTCGAGTTATACGCCTTCACGAGGTCTACGAATCGGTCACCGAGATGGTTTTAGTCCTCGAATTGGCCGCTGGCGGCGAGCTCCAACACATACTTGATGGGGGACAGTGTTTAGGAGAGGTAAGTCGTGCAATTCAAATATTATAGAAAAGTTATAGAAAAATTATAGAAAAATTATAGAAAAATTATAGAAAAATTATAGAAAAATTATAGAAAAATTATAGAAAAATTATAGAAAAATTATAGAAAAATTATAGAAAAATTATAGAAAAATTATAGAAAAATTATAGAAAAATTATAGAAAAATTATAGAAAAATTATAGAAAAATTATAGAAAAATTATAGAAAAATTATAGAAAAATTATAGAAAAATTATAGAAAAATTATAGAAAAATTATAGAAAAATTATAGAAAAATTATAGAAAAATTATAGAAAAATTATAGAAAAATTATAGAAAAATTATAGAAAAATTATAGAAAAATTATAGAAAAATTATAGAAAAATTATAGAAAAATTATAGAAAAATTATAGAAAAATTATAGAAAAATTATAGAAAAATTATAGAAAAATTATAGAAAAATTATAGAAAAATTATAGAAAAATTATAGAAAAATTATAGAAAAATTATAGAAAAATTATAGAAAAATTATAGAAAAATTATAGAAAAATTATAGAAAAATTATAGAAAAATTATAGAAAAATTATAGAAAAATTATAGAAAAATTATAGAAAAATTATAGAAAAATTATAGAAAAATTATAGAAAAATTATAGAAAAATTATAGAAAAATTATAGAAAAATTATAGAAAAATTATAGAAAAATTATAGAAAAATTATAGAAAAATTATAGAAAAAATTATAGAAAAAATTATAGAAAAATTATAGAAAAATTATAGAAATATTATAGAAAAATTATAGAAAAATTATAGAAAAATTATAGAAAAATTATAGAAATATTATAGAAAAATTATAGAAAAAAAGTTAGTTATAGAAAGTTATATAAAGTAGTAGAAAGTAATAGAAAGTTATAAAAAAGTTAGTTGTAGAAAAGTTAATTATAGAAAAGTTATAGAAAAGTTATAGAAAGGTTATAGAAAGGTTATAGAAAAGTTATAGAAAAGTTATAGAAAAGTTATAGAAAAGTTATAGAAAAGTTATAGAAAAGTTATAGAAAAGTTATAGAAAAGTTATAGAAAAGTTATAGAAAAGTTATAGAAAAGTTATAGAAAAGTTATAGAAAAGTTATAGAAAAGTTATAGAAAAGTTATAGAAAAGTTATAGAAAGGTTATAGAAAAGTTATAGAAAAGTTATAGAAAAGTTATAGAAAAGTTATAGAAAAAGTTATAGAAAAGTTATAGAAAAGTTATAGAAAAGTTATAGAAAAGTTATAGAAAAGTTATAGAAAAGTTATAGAAAAGTTTTTATAGAAAAGTTTTTGTAGAAAAGTTTTTGTAGAAAAGTTTTTATAGAAAAGTTTTTTTTTTGTGTGTCATCGGCTTCAACTACAAGTTATTTCGCATAGAAAAGTTTTTATAGAAAAGTTTTTATAGAAAAGTTTTTATAGAAAAGTTTTTATAGAAAAGTTGTTATAGAAAAGTAGTTGTAGAGAAGTAGTTATAGAAAAGTTAGTCATAGAGAAGTTAGTTATAGAAAAGTTAGTTATAGACAAGTTATAGAAAACTCATAGTAAAGTTATAGAATAGTTATTAGTTATAGAATAGTTATAGAAATATTCAGTTAGAAAAGTTATAAAAAAATTCATACAACTGCGCACCACAGTTAAAATCTGCACCAGTCTTACTGTGCGCTGAGGCCTTTATAGAAAAGTTAGTTATAGAAAAATTAATTATAGAAAAATTAATTATAGAAATGTTAGTTATAGAAAAGTTAGTTATAGAAAACTAGTTGTAGTTATAGAGAAGTTAGTTATAGAAAAATTATAGAACAGTTATTAGTTACAGAATAGTTATAGAAAAGTTCATTTAGAAAAGTTATAAAAAAATTCATACAACTGCGCACCACAGTTAAAATCTGTATCAGTCTTACTTTGCGCTGAGGTCTTTATATCGAAATGACATGCGATTGTTTGACGATAGGCCGAGAAGCCAGGGTCGCTATATACAGGGTAGTCAGTTTTTAGGCCTATTTCATATCGCCCTGATTGGTACTTTGGAAAGTGCCCTATATGACATGCAAGAATCTACTTTCCGAATAAGCTGTCATTTATATTTTGTACTATTTGATTGTTAAAGGTGGAAGGAAAGCAGAATCGATTGAAAAAAATCAAATGTTTATAGAATCGACGATAACAAGATCGATTATAAGATTATTTGAATGTAAAATGTAAAATAGTAAAAATGTACGATTATTAATTGATTGTAACAATAATCGATTGTAAAAGATAATCGATTAAAAAGAGTATCGATTGTGAAGATTAAATAATTACATCATAAAGTCATCAACCAGAAAGAATAATTAAATACGTTTTGTAGGTTGAGGCTCGTAAGGCGATGAAACAGATTTTAGAGGGCGTGGCCTACTTACACGACAGAAATATTGCTCATTTGGACCTGAAACCCCAGAATTTACTGCTATCTCTACAAGACTGCTGTGATGACATCAAACTCTGTGATTTTGGCATATCGAAGGTACTTATGCCCGGCGTATCGGTACGAGAAATATTAGGTAAGTCTAACAAAATATAAATCTAAATGCATTGTTCGGAAATATTGCGACCATATTAAGGTCTTTTGAGTATTGAATTATATCATTAGATTAATTTTTTCGGGTATATTTGTTTGTTTAAATTTGAACTCAAAATTAGCTATTCCAGTTTTTTTAACAAGACTATTGTCTTATAATTGTAGGATATCTATCCAGTTTTGTTTAAATCTTTTATTTAAATATAAAAGTAGGTTCTTTTTAATATTTGGTCAAGAGAAACATTGTTCTTTGAAAAAGACGAAAAAAATACTTCTTAAAAATATAGCACAGCTTCACATCCTTTTTGTTTAAAATTGAAAAATGGCCATAAATATTTCAGTAATATTTTGACGATTTCAAATAAAGGAAAACTTATACTATTATAATCTTATACTACAGGGTGTCCAAATTAAAAGTAGCCCATTTTCAGAGCTTATAAGTTTTAAACAAATCATAGAAACGTGCGGTTTTTGCTGATATGTGTTATTTTGCTATAAGTTTTGCTTCAGTGACACAAAAATTATGTGTTACCTATACAGGGTGTTTTTTAAAAATCTCGTCTTTTAAATTCACCGTAACCAAATTTTATCAAATGGAAACGGGCTACTTTTGATTCGGACACCCTGTATTTTAATTTAGTTTTCACCCAAACGTCCTTTAAAATCCTTTCACACTAGTAAACATAATATAACATATAATCGATAAACTCATTGATTATTTTTTAAATAATTTACCATTTATATTTTTAGGTACTGTCGATTATGTGGCACCAGAAGTCCTCAGCTATGAACCAATCGGTCTTTCCACGGATATTTGGTCCGTAGGAGTTTTGGCCTACGTCCTTTTGTCGGGATTCAGTCCCTTCGGCGCCGATGATAAACAACAAACTTTCCTCAATATTTCCCAATGTACACTTTCATTTGAGCCTGAACACTTCGAAGATGTATCCAGTGCTGCGATAGATTTCATTAAAAGTGCCCTTATCGTTAATCCCAGGTAAGATGTTGTTTTAATTGTATTTTAAATTTAGAAAGTAGGAAATTCAAATTTCCGACACAAATCATCCATAACAACCTTTCAATCTTATTATGTGATAAAAATATTCAAAAATAAGGCATAAAGTGTAAATATAACTAGGTTAGTTTTTAACTATACATTTTTAAAATAATTTTATTTAAAATTGTTAAATTCTTTAAAGGACTGGAATTAATTTGTGACGACAGTTTCTTTACTATACTTATATAATATGGATCGCGGAATTTTGTTCGAAAATATTTGTTCGAATCTTTTTGTTCGAAGGAATTTTGTTCGAAAGTTATTTTGATCGAAAGTAAATTATCTCAAACATTTTGTACAAAAGTAATTTTCTTTCTTTCTTAACCAATTTATTTCGCAAACATTTTTTACATTAAATAAGAAAATTTTTAAAAATACAACTAATTTACCTAACCTGCACGGCCTGGAGCCATCGCGAGTAGCCTCACAAGAATTTTTTACATAAAATGACAAAAATTAAAATAAAAATTAATTTACCTAACCTGTGTGGCCTGGAACTATCAAAACTTTTTTAAACCAACTTTGACAAAAATTAAATTTCAATAAAAAGTATTATTTATCTTTTCTTGATTATTTTTATTTCAATAAACATTTAACAGATCTAATGGAGCTATTTTTTAAGAACATTATATTATATCATAAGTCCTATTTTCCTACAAATTTGACTTATAGAGTTAAAAAAAAACAGACAAGTACCTTAGTGTGTATAAATAAATAATAAAAATAAGCGAGCACTTTCAACTTTACAAAAATGTTCGAAATTCATTAAATTTGTCTAGGAAGGATATTTTTTCAAATTAAATATCCGAACAAAATGTGTTCGAATTAAATAACTTTCGAACAAAATTACTTCGAACAAAAAGATTCGAACAATAATTTTCGAACAATATTAGGCATTCCAACGACCTGTCCAAATGGCTACCAGTGGGTAATGACAGTTTAGATATGGCAACCCTGTTGTCATGTTGTCATTAACAGGGTCAATGATACATATATAGTTATATAGATTGCTCAAAGCTGGTCGTTTACGAGCGGCCATATTGCCTGGCAAATATTTATTAATTTGAATCGGTTTAGAAAAAATGTGTTTTAAAACTAATTTTTAGCCTTTAGACATTAAAAAAAAATAATTGCTTACATTTTTACTTCAAGGCATAAGCTTATGTTTATTTTGAAAAATATGGATGATCAATCTATGTAACTATCTATTTCATTGACCTTGTCAAATCACCAGGCCTACAGGGTTGCCATAATTTTGCTATATCATAACCCGTCAAAACCCACTGGTAGCCATTCAGTTTGGAATGCCTAATTCCGCGACCCATATAATATTTATTTAGACCTGTCATTGTCTTTCTTAATCAACCGTCATGCAAAATACATCACCATCATCAAAATAGATTAAACCTTTGCTTTCTATTTTATGTGGCCCAATTTGGAACAATTTTAACTAGATCTGGAATTCCTTATTTTGTCCCTTAACATTGGCAAGACATTCTCTGGTTTGACAAGTGGTTCTGTTATTAAAATTTCCTTCCTATAGACTACTCACAAAGTCTACAAATGGGTCCAATATCTATCTGTTACCTTATGACTCTGCTTTAACCCCAACAGTATTCCTAATACAATAATAATTTAATGACCTACTTTTAAGCCATTTCTGACCTAGATCTAAACACTCTGCGTGCAATTTATAATTATTGTTAATGAGGATTTTGAAATTATTCCCTGCTGGGCGAAGCGGATATATTTTTCATTTCAATCCAAACCCTTAAAATACAATTTTGCGCACTTTGAAACAAAGTGAATACAACCACAACCTTGAAATTAAAAATGGTTCCTTGTGATGTACGATTTTTGTGGGTTTATTTATTGATTTCTGAAGTCTAAAAGTTTTTTGATTTTTTTGTGGAAGTGCTCGACCCAAGAATGTAGTTCTCAAAATTCTTTGTCATTGTTTGTAAAATAGTTATTTACCTTATTTACGTTATTTACGTTATTTACGTTATTTACGTTATTTACGTTATTTACGTTATTTACGTTATTTACGTTATTTACGTTATTTACGTTATTTACGTTATTTACGTTATTTACGTTATTTACGTTATTTACGTTATTTACGTTATTTACGTTATTTACGTTATTTACGTTATTTACGTTATTTACGTTATTTACGTTATTTACGTTATTTACGTTATTTACGTTATTTACGTTATTTACGTTATTTACGTTATTTACGTTACGTTATTTACGTTATTTACGTTATTTACGTTATTTACGTTATTTACGTTATTTACGTTATTTACGTTATTTACGTTATTTACGTTATTTACGTTATTTACGTTATTTACGTTATTTACGTTATTTACGTTATTTACGTTATTTACGTTATTTACGTTATTTACGTTATTTACGTTATTTACGTTATTTACGTTATTTACGTTATTTACGTTATTTACGTTATTTACGTTATTTACGTTATTTACGTTATTTACGTTATTTACGTTATTTACGTTATTTACGTTATTTACGTTATTTACGTTATTTACGTTATTTACGTTATTTACGTTATTTACGTTATTTACGTTATTTACGTTATTTACGTTATTTACGTTATTTACGTTATTTACGTTATTTACGTTATTTACGTTATTTACGTTATTTACGTTATTTACGTTATTTACGTTATTTACGTTATTTACGTTATTTACGTTATTTACGTTATTTACGTTATTTACGTTATTTACGTTATTTACGTTATTTACGTTATTTACGTTATTTACGTTATTTACGTTATTTACGTTATTTACGTTATTTACGTTATTTACGTTATTTACGTTATTTACGTTATTTACGTTATTTACGTTATTTACGTTATTTACGTTATTTACGTTATTTACGTTATTTACGTTATTTACGTTATTTACGTTATTTACGTTATTTACGTTATTTACGTTATTTACGTTATTTACGTTATTTACGTTATTTACGTTATTTACGTTATTTACGTTATTTACGTTTATTTACGTTATTTACGTTATTTACGTTATTTACGTTATTTACGTTATTTACGTTATTTACGTTATTTACGTTATTTACGTTATTTACGTTATTTACGTTATTTACGTTATTTACGTTATTTACGTTATTTACGTTATTTACGTTATTTACGTTATTTACGTTATTTACGTTATTTACGTTATTTACGTTATTTACGTTATTTACGTTATTTACGTTATTTACGTTATTTACGTTATTTACGTTATTTACGTTATTTACGTTATTTACGTTATTTACGTTATTTACGTTATTTACGTTATTTACGTTATTTACGTTATTTACGTTATTTACGTTATTTACGTTATTTACGTTATTTACGTTATTTACGTTATTTACGTTATTTACGTTATTTACGTTATTTACGTTATTTACGTTATTTACGTTATTTACGTTATTTACGTTATTTACGTTATTTACGTTATTTACGTTATTTACGTTATTTACGTTATTTACGTTATTTATTTTGTCTCAGAAAATATTTGCACACTTCGGCAATCTCTTAACTTTTGTTGTATCAAGCTGGTTAAAAGATAATAATGGAATTAATGTTTTAAAAATTTTTTTACCAAAAAATCGAAACCTGAATCATATTCCGATTTCTCCGCCTTATTTTAGTATTTTATGCTGTGCCTTCCAAAGTTTTTGAATAACTGATCAATAAACAAATTTTAAATTGGATTACGCAATTGTTATAGTTGCACTAAGGCACTACTAAAAGTAACTCATGAAATTCATAGAGCCTGCTATAATAATTTACTTATTGTCTTAGCCCTTCGTGATTACTCAAATGTAATCGACCTCATCAATTAAACACTGTTTCTAGGCTTTTATATTCAAACATTAAACCTATTTAGAAGTTATTTGACAAATCGATGCCAAGCTATTGTCTTAAATGGCCAGAAACTGTTCTACGAATATTAATATATTCAGAATAAAGTACATCGACAACCGGTTAATCTTCCGCAATTATAAACCCGTCTCTTTTTCAATATCTTTAGAAATATTCTGATTGGCCTGATCGTTTTCGTACTCGACGAAATCATCGAACAAACTCGGCCAAGCTTCATTGTCATAGTAACAACTCAAATCGCTACCCACGTGTTCGGAGAAATTCAGAAATATATTCCACGTATCTTTCGGTATTCCCGGATGATTTGATGCGTTTCCAAGAAACTCAGCCACCTCGTAAGTGTCGGCGGTTTTCTTATCGTGAAAACTAATTTCCATAGTATGATGGCCATGTCAGTCGGTAAAATCCTTTGACCCGAAGAAAATAAGAAAATCCGAATCGGAAAGTAAAGCATACAAGTCTCTAGAAAGTTCATAGTCGTTTTCAACTTCACTAACTAATTCCGGTGAATATTATTTTAAATCACGTTACCCTGTCCCTTGATTTTTGTGCAAAAAATGTAGGTCTGCATTCTGCATATGGACAACTCACAGAGCTACGATATATAGAGATAGCTTCAAAGAGAGAAGTTGTAACACACGTAATACGTAAATGTTTACACTAGGACTAACAACAATCATCTGAAAACAATGTTGCCAAATTTAAGTTGTATATATTTAGACTTTTTATTACTCAAAGCTTCTATGTTTATTAAATAATTGATTTCTACTTTAAACACATTACTATTTTGTAATAAACGTTTTATAAAATAATTAATGGAATACTTACATTGTTTAAAAAGACTTTAGTACATTAAGGTGTACATTTTTAAGATTTGGCAAAATTGGGTTTAAAATCAGTGGTTCAAACAGAAAACAGAACCGTCAACGCCAAACCTCATTTGGTTAAGCTTATGTTTATTACATTAATTATTATACCGTGACTAGCAGTACAGTACACGAAATATTTGTACATTGGATGTATCCTAATTCTAGAGAGCTTTGTTCCTAAATGAAGCAAAAAATTACAAATTATGACTTAATACAGTTTTTCTTTGGGATGTGCGATAGGATATATTATAAATCACCACAACAAATATTCCCATGGCAAATTTCATTTTAATACAAATATACAGGGTGGCTCACGCTCAACGGGACGGAGCTTTATGGGAAAACGACCAAAGATATAAAAAATTCGTTTGGGAGGAATACGTAGGTTATAGACGGCTACAATTTAAAATTTGTTAGATGTATACAGGATGTCCCACATAAGAGAAAATATACAAAGTTATATTATTTTTAATGGAACACCCTGTTTTTTATTTTAGAATTAAAAACTACATCAAAAATAATGTCAGTTAACTAAAGGTTCCCTATTACTATTATTATTAGTTTTCGATTTATTTGAATTTTTAAGGAAAAAAAGTCTCCCAGAAATTAATTGTTTACTCTTGTTTGAATAATTTTTAATGAACTAATTTTTTTTTCTTATGTGGGACATCCTGTATACATCTAACAAATTTTAAATTGTAGCCGTCTGTAACCTACGTATTCCTCCCAAACGAATTTTTTATATCTTTGGTCGTTTTTCCATAAAGCTCCGTCCCGTTGAGCGTGAGCCACCCTGTTTAACCAATTATTGCTTTTTCTTTTCCCATTGAAACTACGCCACTGGAAATGTTCTACGTCTATGAACAGAGTCCTTGTCAAAAACAAACAACCTGAAATTTCACGATATGTTTGTGACATCGCTAAATATTGAATACGTATAAGTATATCTCTCTCATGCTCCCTCTATATAGCCTTGCTCTGTGGGTTTAACTCTCACATATCAGTAACTGCCAAAAGGTGTTTAATAAGAGGCAGAAAGTACTGACCCTGAAGGTAACATTTAATCATATGACAGGCGACGAGTAGCAAGCAGTAAATACTGCCGTGTTAAAAGTGCTGTTGCCTCTTTTGCATCGATTGCGCTGTCCCAAATTTTTTTCATATAATTACATGTGTTCAGACATAAGAGACACATTTCGGTCTCCTTATGCAGTCGCTTGTCGTTTGCTTCGGTCTCGCATTTCCAAATGGTACCTTAAGTATATTTATTTTCGCCCACAATACTAGATCAGCCTAATAATATAAATATAAAATTAAACTACCCATCATGTTCTCAACATAATACATGCGATTGTAAAAATTAAGAGAAAACGACATCAATTCATTATTTGACATTTTTCATTATTTTATCTAAATTATAGTACAACACACTCTTTATTTTTTCATAATTTTCTTTAGTAAGACTCATATCTATGTTTTATAAATATCTTAAAATTAGGTCAGATCTTACAGTTAATCTTAGTTTCATTCAAGGTTGAGTAGAAGAGCTGCTTCTTTCTATGCTTTGTACCTGGTGAATGACAATTTATAGATGTTTCAACTCTTTTTAAAATATGGCACCAAAAACTGCATAGTATATAAAAAATCCACCAGATGTCGATAAAAGGTGAAGTACCTCAAATGAAAACAAATAATGACTGCGAACTGTCAGAAAAATTCAGTTAATTTTATCTTTATCGAGTAAAAAATATATATCATGCTCCGTGAACATTAAAATAATAACCTATCTAATGATTGACCAATCATCTGATGGCCAGAGTTTGAAGTTGGAACATGCTGATGTTAAAATATACTTTATCTAGCTTTTATAATGGTCAAACGGGTACATCACCTTTTAACGACCTCTGGTGAATTTTTTGAAACTATGTTGTGTTTGGTGCCATATCGTCTTTTGTTTTTATATGGCATTTTAGGGAAGTTGAAACACCTATTGTCTTTCATCGTGGCTTTGTCATTTCTAGAAGCTGATCTACGCTTATTGTTTGTAAAATATTGTTTCATCTACCTAATTATTAACATTAATTATATGACTAATAATATAATTATAATTTTGTTTTATAATTGTGTTTTCTTTTTCAGAAATCGACCAAACATACACGAAATGCTCGACCATCCGTGGATATCCCTGAAGAGCAACGTACCACCCGCGCTAACCTTAAAACCGTGCGACCACACCCACCAATCCAACAACGTAACGCCAAAGTCCACACCTCTTAGCCAACGAAAATCCTTCAGCTGCGTGACGGACGGGACGACGAAAACGCCCGCGCAGCGCAAGACGGCCTTTTGCTCAGACACTTTGACAGGCAGTTTCACAGACACTTCGCCAGTTCGTACGTACACAGTTTCAGCCAATTGCCTATGTCCTCAGTGTGGTACGACATGTCGTCACATCACGCACGCCCCAGTGACTAAAACTACCATTACCATCGATCGGGGCATTCTGTGCTAGCGTAAAAACCGTCGGGGTGTGACCGACACTTTAGTTTATTCCTTGGGATCGATCTGATAGCACCGCTACGATTCTAGGGAATCAGCTGCGGTCTATGTCTGTGTTCGCACTCAAGGCGACTTAGTAACCAGAATCAGCACATAATGCAGGGTGATTCAATATTATATTTTTACTATATTGTAGCAATAAGATACCAACGTGTTCTCTAGAAAAATGCTATTCTTTACAGGATAGCTGTGTTTATTGAATAAAAAAAAGTTTTTATTGTGACCGTAAGTCATTTAATAGTTTATTCGAAAAATCTACCGTTGAGTCACCCTGTAGTTTTTTTTGTATTTTAAAACGATGTCAAGGATCATTTCCCCGGAACAAATCGAGCCTATATATATCATGTTTGTTATATAAATGACACATGCATGTTACATGTTAGCTGAAAGTTCATGTCGCATGAGTGTATAGTCATAATGTTTCTTTTTAATTTTTTTTATTATTAAAGGCTAGATTTATGAAATAACAGAGTTATTATTATATCTTATGATAAAAAAGATGGTGCATGTCCCGCTGAAAATATTTCCAGTGATCTTAAATTTTAATATGATTGTGAGAATTTTTTATAAAGTACTTATTTATTTTTATAGGTATTTTCAGATGGGTGCATTAACAATTCGTTCTTATGATTGAGGTGATAGTAGTTAAATTATATCTAATATTTCCTAAAATCCTAAAACAGTCATAATATTTTGATAATTTACGTACAAACGTAATGTTTAAATTTTGAAGCCTGTATTGATCTTTCTAGTGTGTTATTTTCTTTTTGCATCATTATCTTCTAGGTTTTCTTATCATTTTGGTCTTCTCCATAGTTTTCACAGACGATCTTCCGGTTGTAGCATTTTTGTTTGAACTACCTCGTTTATTATTGGTTCGTTAATTTAAATAATGTATATAATATTTCTATGTTTTTTGCCATTCTAATTGCATTTTTTTGTTCAACTAATCAGGTTTGTTCGGGTTCTTCAAAAATACGTTGAGAATTATTGGAGGACTAGTTGACCAATGGACAGTGTAAAAGTTGTACGCGACGAATAATTTGCTATTTAATTGTTCCACTGGATTTCGGACGGGTTTCATTAAATTTTAAATAAACCTGAACAAACCCATATATGTCGAAAATTAACAAAATTTCCTATGATTTGAGCAATTTCACTGAAGTCTTTTATACTTTTTTAAAATTTTGGCGAAATAGCTCTCAGCTTAATATATTTTCGGTGATTTCGCCGAAATGTGGCTTAATTTTATATTATTTCGGCGATTTTGCCAAAATCATATAGTGCGTAATTGTTCAATATTTCAGTTTGTGTTATAGACACGCAAACAAGTTTCATGAATTTGAAAAATACATATTTTAAAATTAGTTTTGGATATACAGGGCGTTGCATTTTTGCATGGCAAATAAAAATATATTTTTTAAATATATCACCCTTTAAGCAATTGATTTTTTTATGATATTAGAGAATAATGCAGACCCCAAATTAAATTATCATAATTTAGGTAGATTTACATTGATTTCAAAATTGTTTATTAGATAGAACTGGTTTATTTTATACAGTGTTTTAGAACATGTTTTCAATATGGCTAATTTTAAGTTCAATATTTTTTCAAATGCAACATCCTGTATATTATTTCATCGTAAAATTTCTTATAAATTTGCCTGTCTAACAGTACCAACATGTTAGCCAATAACACATACAGGGTGTCCCATCAGTTCGTAATTGATCGATAGCTCTTTTATTATTGGAAATACGAAGAAATTTTTAATATAAAACTTGTATGTCCATATTTAAAAAATATTCTTAAATATACAGGGTGGTCCATAAAAGAGGTGCTAATCAAACCTATACTTTTTTAACGCAAAAACAAATATGTATAACTATACATATTTGATTGTTTTCATAGAGTCAAAAATTTTTAATTGACTTCATTCATTTGGTATGTTGTATATAGGGTGTGTCAAAATACGAGGTTACGATTTTCTCATTTTTTTTAAATGGAATACCCGGTCTTAATTAATTAGTGGTATAACATACACGGTATTACATTTAAAAAATTGAAAAAATCGTAACCTCGCGTTTGACACACCCTATATACAATATATCAAATGAATGAAGACTATTAAAATTGTTTAACGATGTGAAAACAATCAAAAAAGTATAACTACTTAGTACCTGTAGGGTCTTTTGCTTTAAAAATGTATAGGTATGGTCAGTCCTTCGTTTATGGATCGCCCTATATATTTAAGACTAATTGTTAAATATGGTCATGCAACTTTTATATTAATTTTTTTTATCGTATTTCCAATAATAAAACAGCTATTGATCAATTACGGACTAATGGGACACCCTGTATATGTGTTATTGGCTAACTTGTTGCTGGGAAACCCTGTAATAAAAAAATATCTAGGGTTGAAAGCAATATTACCAAACCATTCTAAAACTAAAATGAAATTTAAAAAATATAGATTTTTATTTGCCAAGCAAAAATATTTTTAAAATAAGTATTTTTTAAAATCCATTTAACTTTTATTTGAAACTTTTGTTTGCGTGTCTATAACACACTCTGTATAACTTCCAATGAATATTCATTATTATTATACCATTTCAAAGTTTTCTCTGGAGAAAATATATTTTTTTTTTAGGAATATTCAAACGTCCTTTTTTGCTCTTCACTTGTTTTTTGATCGACCTGATTTCGGTAATAATTTCTGTGATTCGACCATGATTTTGGAAATGATTTAGAGATAATTTGTAGCAATTTCGGTAATTTTAAGTTACTTCATCCTTCGAGACTATATATTGTGAATGTTTTATTACCCATGATTTGCTACCATAGAGTAAGTCTCAATTTTGTATACAGTTTTTCTTTTTATCCAATGTACTTTGTTATTCTCTGATTAATTTTATTATCAACTTGGCATTTATTTTTAAGTTATAATTATCTCCTTCTTTCCATGTTTGTATATACTTAGTCTTTTTAGAGTACCTATGTCCCATTTGTGCTCCCTGGGAGAAGAATAAAAAATAAAATTCTTTTTTCTACCTATTTTTCTGTTTTCCGAGTTATATGCCCGTTTAAAATGCACAAATAGAATTTCATACTAGTAATATTTTTTCTACAGGTTCTCTTCTATTTCAATTTTGATTAATATTACTCAAAACTGTTAGAGAACTTTTAGAACTGTTTCTGCACCTTTGTTGAGTTCTGCGTATATTAAATTTAAAATTACCTTGTCAACTATCACATACCTGAAAAATGTAAATTATTTGTTATAGTTGATATGTTTTGAAAATATAAAGTGGGACATGCATGTGAACGTTGAGGTATTGAAAATTTTTATGTGTGGGGAACAAAAAGAGGTTATTGGCGTCGGCTATTCCATCATTTTTAAGTTACACAAATGTGAATTTGTGCTATTTGTTGGGATGTACAGTGCTATTTGTATTTAAGTATGAGTAATTTATATTATTTTGTTGCTTTAATTTACTTTAATTTGGTGTGTACCTAAATAAAGTTATTTGTTAATTTCAAATACATATTTGTTTTATTTCTTATTCGTCCTGCTTAAAACATGTTAGGATACATGAGGTATCATCAAATCATGCTTTAATCATACATTTAATGCAAGTTGTGCTGCTATAAATGTCCTGTTTTTCCACGTGGGAGTTTGGAGAAAGGAGAGTAACAAACACGTTATCCTTTTATTGTAAAGATCGATGTTTCGATAAATTATTAATTGAAGCCCTTGGCATAAAAAGGATGCAAGCCACAATTTGTCATGAAGGGACCGTTTTAGCTCAAAGCATCTGTTAATGAGGGTACTAGCCACATACAAATTATTTTACCTCTATTTCGGATTAGAGGCACTATCTTTCGTAATATTTTTTTTTTGCTTTAGTGTTTGGCTTCAACATCTAAGGTCCTTAGCCTTGTGTTCTATGTAGGTTATGGATTGTACTAGTAGTCTAATACTCCATAGTGCAAGAGTATTAGTACTCTAATAACTCCTACACCCCTACAGACAGGCCTTGTTACTGTTTTCTTGCGCCACTTTAAGAAGAACACTATTAATTAGAACCCAACAGTGAATGGTCGAGTGGGGAATCCTATCAAGGCATCAGAATTTCGTAATATATTTAAATAATTTTTTTATTTGTATTTGACAGATTTAAAACAAACTTAAAACTCAATTTTCTTAAAACTTACAATGTGTCATGTATCCTAATTACGCCAAGATCTTTAATTGAAGTAAAAATAATTAGCCAAGCTGTTGATCTTTATGATAAAAGAATAATTATAATTCTTCAACAATTGCTTTTTCAGATTCCGATTCTGAAGCTCCCGACAGCATTCCTGAGGACCTTATCAAGGTGTCTGATAATCTTTTCGTGTCTGATGATGTCCAAAGTTTTCCAGCACCTTTATTTGAAATACACTACTCAACAATTGAAATGGATATATTCTAAATTTATTTAAAATAAAAAGAACTATTTTTCCATTTTTAAATCATACTTTCTAGGCAATTAAAATTATCTAGTTTAATTGTTGAGCAGTTTATTTTAGTAAAAAAAGAAATTTATTTATTTTTTTGGTTAAATAAAATATTTTAAAATTAATCAAGTGGTTTTCTAGATTTCCAAAATCCTCATACTAATGAAAGTTACAAAAAAAAAGAATTCTGTACAGATCGACATATTTCACTGAAACTTGGTAGAAACTGTATAATATACAGTTTTATATATTATAAAAATCTTATTGTCGGAATAGTGTCTGTTACTCAATATCTCTTGCCCAAAAGTTGGAAATTGTTGCTTTTGATTTGGACAAAACGTTGTATACAAATATTTAAAGACATGTGTCTTTGTTTGTTAATTATCTACACTTGCTTTTCTAATGATTTAGGCTAAACAGAAACGAACTTTCCATTGCCCATTCGGCCTCTCATAGTATTTCGATATTTAGCAGCTCCGCACGCAATTGAGTACGTAAACCAATTTTTCAGTTTCATCAGGCCTTCCATATTTATATATTTAGAAGTTCAGCTCGTAATTGGATCAGGCCTGAAATTGAGCAGTTTTTAGTAGACCAATTCATTCGTTTTATCAGAGCTCTGATGTTTCTATTCAAGGCCGATTCTCACTGTAGTTCAGATCACGCTCCGCTCACGCTCCAGTCAAGACGCGATGCAATATTGTGACACGCTATTTAAATGGAAATATTCATATTTGTCCTTTCCCTCACGGTATGCTCACGATCTTTGACCGCGGTCTTTCTCCTTGAGGATATTTTGATCGAACCGTGAGTGAACCTTTGCGTCAGTATGTACAAGCAACAATTAAATTACGTTTTTTTTTTCAATTCTTGTATCAAGTGCAAGTTGGATGAACAACTAATTGAATTAGTTCGAAATACCAAAGAATTGCACGACGTGGGTGATAAGTCATACTCTGACATGGCATTAAAAAACAAAATTGAGGGAAATGAGCGCCAGTTGAGTGTAACATATGAACACTACCTCATATCCTTAATTGTGAGCGGATCGTGAGCGTAGTGTGACCTGAGCGCCTAGTGGGAATCGGTCAGTTTGCCATTGAATTAGTCCTCAGACATTCTTCAATTTTTAGTAGGACAATTATTTATAGCCGATTCGACTCAAATGTTCTTGCCCGATGACAAAGCGCCTTCAGTTCTGAATTAAAATTGGGCAACATTTTTATAATTCAAATTTAAATCTAGCAGTGCATACAGCAAATACGAGTACAGTTCGACATTGGTGTAGCGCATCTTTATCGTTATTCGACTGGCACAGTTAACATTTGACATTTCAGGTTTCTAACAAATTTTTAACGATATTTATTTATAGTTGTCAAACCAAAAATTAAATCTCTATTAATTTCAAAGATTTTCCATTCTCAATAATAATAAAGAAGAAGATGGTAATATATTTAAAAATATTAAATAAATCCTAACCTCCAAAATGACACTGGCACTGAAAAAAAAGTACAGTTCCAAAAAATTCGAACTTTGAGCAAAAGCGCGTGCCAGTCGAACAAAAATTTCACTATGCCTTGGTATCGAGCAATTTCAGTCGAATGCAATAATTGTCTTTTAATTAATTAGGTTCTGCCAGTCGAACAAACACCACTTAAAAAAGTCGAACTAAATGCGCATTAATGCAGCCAGTCGAATCCGCTATTAGTTTCATCAGCCGTATGATTCACATCTTTCGATACAGCATGTATCGAGACGCCTATCTTCAATCAACAGACTGCGATTATTATGTAATAGAGAGTTGAAGTGTTTTCAGTATCTTAACGTAAACGTGAACGTCAACGCACAAAACTAATGTTTACGTTAAAGTCCAAAATATGAGTTGAGGTTGCTTAACGCCTCGTGACATTTACGTGCCATAACAGATAATGAAAATTATTAATATTAGGATTTCTTTTTTCCAAATAAGCAAGAGTTTATTTTATTTCCTTTTTGTGCATACGCTAGAGCCCGTAAGCTTACATATGTTTGTAGACGTAAACGTGAAGAATTTTTGAATACGCATGAGTACATTTCAATTTTCACGTATACGTTTACGTTCACATCATCACTTCAACTCTCTATTGTCTCTCTCTATATTCGATACGCAACGTGTCAAGTTCGCACATAAGAATCCCTGTGCAGAGGCATCTCATATTTCAATATTTACATAGAAGGGCAACTCGCAATTTCATCAGGTCTGACAGTCGTTATATTTTAGTAGGCCAACTCATAGACCAATTAATTAGTTTCATCAGATCTCCTATACTGTTGTCAGTTTCTAATATGCCAATGCCTGGACTAATTCTATTTTCATCAGGCCTGACCAAAGATGTCGGATAGAATAGACACGCCTTGTTTATATTAAATTTGTACACCCAGACAGCACAAATAGGTCCATTGGACATCCATATATTAATTTTTTTTTATTAAAAATCACTTGACCTGAGCAGGGATCGAACTCACGACACATCCATTGTAGCTTTAGACTTTCAAGCGCTAGACGACCTCGACCAAGGAGCCACTTGAACAATTTTTACAGTTATAATAGAATAAGATTTCAAACTTCCGCTGATAGAATGAAATGTAATAGATTCAATTTGTCAATTTTTAAAGACCAATTGTATTAAAAAAGGTAGTGTATATAGATGGGTATTATCTGGTAAACTAAATAAATAATGACCTAAGAAGGACGTCCACTGGACGTCAAAATAATACTAAACTTATTAAGTCCAAAAACAGACACCATCTGGGTATCGATATGCAGCTGTCAAATTAATGATCATAAACGGACATACAGTGGATGTCCGAATACGTATATGGACGTTCTCAAATGGAACATATTTCTGACAGTACGCTCTTCCTATGTTAGATATGTTCCATCAAATATCCTGCATTACATTTTTAATAAAAAATTTGCTTTTCCTTTTAATATAATCTGATAAAAAAGAAAAATAAAGAATTGAAAGTATTGATATGAGTTTTTAACATCTATCGTATGTGGATATTAAACATTTAAACATTTCGTTGGCGGCGTATTGTGCTTTTTTGTGTTTGGAGATTTTCGAGAATAATTTAAAAACATTGAACTGTTTAGTAAGGACATTTAAGATGGCAAGGAAATGTGTATATAAAAAAACAGGTGAAATTTTTTGATTTATTTAATATTTATTCAAAAAGGTGGAAAATACAATATCAAAACTGTTATCTCAGTCATCTAATCATTTTCAGCATTTGTGGCTTTCCAACTGACTATGGGTGAGATTACAGAAGCTCTGCAAATTGTACTTGCATCTGCAACTATCAGTTGCAATCGCAAAAGAGAAGAAACATGGTATTACAGAAACGTGTTTTCACTTTTTGTGTCTGCAAATCATCTGTAACTTTGCAAGAGATTGCAACATCCTGCAAAATTGCAGATGAAGAGACAAATTTTAAACAAAAGGGCTTTAAAATGTCAAATTTTGGACTTGTACGGTTTTCGAACTCACCGATTCGAATTTGCTTGTAGTTTAGGAACAAATAATGCGTCAGAGATTATCGTGTTGAAGTCTTCGTTCTTTAGTTTAACGGAGACGTTACCCACACCTTCACTGAATAGTTTAGAATCATTGGCAACAGTTAATTCTAAATTAAACAATCAGTTTTAAAATCATAGAGCCAGTCTCGGCAAGAAGTCATGTGTGTCGTCACACCAGAATCAACATACCAGTGGCTATTAATGGTACGAATACCAAGTGCAGTAAATAAAGCCTTTTGTTGACGTGGCTTATAACAAGAGTCATTCTTTGTTAGCTCCTTATTTGGACAGTTTTGTTTAATAGGTCTAACCGCACCACAACTCCATTTTACGGTCCCCTGATTCTTATTCTTGGGTTTAAAACTACTAACAAGTGCATTTTCAGTTATTTTGTTTATTCATCCAATGGGTATCTTGTAACAATTTTGTCTTGATGTAATCGCTTGATATTTGTGCACCGGAGCTTTCCATTGCCATGATCATGGGATCATAATCGTCAGGAAGACCAGCATGCAACAAGGAATTCATCTTCAACGGCTTCATTCTTGCTACTAAGAGACATTTACAAGGATATAAACTCCACTTCACTCTCACTCCCACTTCACTACACCATCTTTGGTATGTTCTAGTCCTCGTTGGACTATATCACACAGGATATTACTAAACTTGCCACTAGCAAATATGACTATATCGTCGGCATAACCTTGACAATATTAAATAAAAGAATATTCTTTACATTTTATGAATATTTATAACGGCTACTGATAAACTAAGAGAACAAAAAAAAATATATAAGTTTAGAAATGAATCAGAAATTAACCTGGATATTTCTTTTTTAAATTGTGGAAAACTCAAATAGAAAATATCCACATTAGGAATGGCGTTTACACTTTTAAACATTAAATATAGGGGTGAATTAAAGTGATGATACGTATTTGGTACGGGAATATGAAGCGTACTGGCTACTCGCGAAGTGATACGGGGAACAATAAGAAATATTTAAGAAAGTAAATTTGAGGAGTCAATGTGATTATTAATTATTTTTTATATAAAACGGTGCTTTCTTAGAGATATTAAATTGAATTACTGTAACAATAATTCATAATTGGAACTTCTTTCAGGATATAGACCATATTATTATATTATTTTTTAAGGTAAGCAAATTTTAAATTTTTTTTTTTAACTTTCTCAAGTAGTTGTACGTATTTATTCTGATAGGGGTTCCAGATAATCGAGCACTATTCGAGGTTGCTTCTCACAAGTGAATAATATAATAATAATAATAATAATAATAATAATAATACTCTCCCTAATTCACCCCCTTACGAGTGAATTTCAACCCCTGAAGTCGACTGAACGACTTGTGTAGGGGAAGGGACGGCTATTATTATTATTATTATTTGCCGTGGCGCTCCG